TCTCAAAGGCCTTTCAAAAAATATTCCTAAAAAAAATCCACGTCTCAAAGGCCTTTCAAAAAATATTCTTAAAAAAAATCCACGTCTCAAAGGCCTTTCAAAAAATATTCTTACAAAAAATCCACGTCTTAAAGGCCTTTCAAAAAATATTCCTAAAAAAATCCACGTCTCAAAGGCCTTTCAAAAAATATTCTTAAAAAAAATCCACGTCTCAAAGGCCTTTCAAAAAATATTCTTACAAAAAATCCACGTCTTAAAGGCCTTTCAAAAAATATTCCTAAAAAAATCCACGTCTCAAAGGCCTTTCAAAAAATATTCTTAAAAAAATCCACGTCTCAAAGGCCTTTCAAAAAATATTCTTACAAAAAATCCACGTCTTAAAGGCCTTTCAAAAAATATTCCTAAAAAATCCACGTCTCAAAGGCCTTTCAAAAAATATTCTTAAAAAAAATCCACGTCTCAAAGGCCTTTCAAAAAATATTCTTAAAAAAAATCCATGTCTCGAACGCCCTTCAAAAAATATTCTTAAAAAAATCCACGTCTCGAAAGCTCTTCAAAAAATATTGTTTAAAAAATCCATGTCTCGAAGGCCTTCAAAAAAATTCTTTAAAAAATCCACGTCTCAAAGGCTTTTCAAAAAATATTCTTAAAAAAATCCACGTCTCAAAGGCCCTCCAAAAAATATTCTTTAAAAAATCCACGTCTCGAAGGCCCTTCAAAAAATATTCTTTAAAAAAGTCCACGTCTCAAAGGTCCTTCAATAAATATCTTTAAAAAAATACCTTCCGAGGCGTAAAATAAAAAAAAATCTTTAAAAAATCCACGCCTAGAAGACTTTTCAAAAAAATCTTTAAAAAATCCACGTCTCGAAGGAACTTCAATAAATATTTAAAAAAAAATACATCTCGAAGGCTCTTCAAAAAAAATCTCTAAAAAATCCACGTCTCGAAGACTCAACAAGAAATATTCTTTAAACTATCCACATCTTAAAAGCCCTTCAAAAAATATAAAAATGGACATAGAAAGCAAAAAACAAGTTAAAAAGTATCAGTCGGTTATGCCGACTGACATATACCCTTAGCCAATGTTTTATTAATTAAATATATTTTTACTGCTGTTATGATTATTCAAACTGTTGACCCTCTATGGAGTGGGGGCCAATATTGTCCATTTCATATCGGACCCTATGGGTGGAGTTACCAAAAGAAATGGTCCGATATTCTTACAACACATGTTGTGTTGATGCAAATATTGAGATGTACCAAGTCTGGAATGGAATCGTATGTTAATGTGTTGACCCTTTGTGGGGGAGGTACCAGAAGAAGTGGACCGATATCATCTTCCACCATCTTCACGACAGATCTTGTGTTATTAGAAATAAAGGAATGTGTGAAATATAAAGAGAACCTGATGTTTATATCGGATTTTATAAACGTTTTGGTTATTCAAAACTTTTACCCTTTGTGGGGGAGGTACCAGAAGGAATGTTCCGATTACTACCGCCTTTATAACAGATGTTGTTTTGATAGAGATATTCACATGTGCCAAGTCTAAATAGAATCGGATGTTTATTTCGTGTGAAATTTGAAGACAATCGGACTCTTACATCATATTTTATAAGAGTTGTAATTATTCAAAATTTTGACCCTTTGTGGGGGAGGTACTTGATGGAATGGACTGATATTGTCCACTTTTGCACCAGACCTAGCACTGACGCAAATATTAGGATTTGCAATTTTGTATCAAAATCGGATTATCGTTTCCCTTTCTGCGCAGAAAATATATTTTTTAAAAATTTCGGTCTTTTGTGGTGAAGGTGCCAGAAGGAGTGGAACTCTCCAAACTCGATCTAAGTTTGACGGAAATATTACGATGTAGAAAGTTTGGACCTAATCGAACACTGCCGTCGAGAGTTATCGTGCGACTCCAAATGTCCTGAAACGAATTCGGTCCAAAGAGACCTAGGGCCTGAAACCGTTATTTCGATGAGGCACGATTTGGCCGTATCAAATGATGTATACCCCTTTCTAGCTATATGGCTGAGGGTATAAATTTGAAATTCGGTATGAGAATAGAGGTTGGAATATACGTCTGTGTGCGAACTGCCCTAAATGGTACCTAATTTGGAACACATTGGTTTAGAGTGAATAGAAGAAGCTGGAAATTTTATCTTGGAAACCCTGTTAAAAGCCAGGACATATCGATGTGGTTTCGGAAGTGTGTAGTTTAATTGTACGAAAAGAAAAAGGGAAAAGATAATGGTACTAAATTTGGTATTGGGTGAAGGGATAGGGCTAGAATCCTCAAATTTAATATTGAGGTCTATGTTGATATCTGGTGTTTAGATATGAAGCTGGTTTTGGAAATGTTTACTAAAATTGTACGAAAAGTACTAAATGTTACTAAATTTGGTAGCGGATGAAGGAATAGAGACATAATTCTGATATTTGATATTTAGATAACTGATGGTGTGGTTTGCAAATGTGCCCTATATTTGTACGAAAAATACCTAATGGTACTAAATTTCGTATTGGGTGAAGAGATAGGGCTGGAATCCTCAAATTTGATATTGAGGTGTCTGTTGATATCGGAAATTGATATGTGGAGGTGATTTTGGAAATGTATACCATAATTGTACGAAAAGTACTAAATGGTACTTATTTTGGTAAATGGTATTTATTTGGAAAAAATTGTATACTTAGATTACAGATGGTATCTGTGTCTCGGTAATTTGGCAATAAGCCCTATATTTGTACGAAAAGTACTAAATGGTACTCCCGAAATTTGATATTTAGGTGTCTGTTGATATCGGGAATTGAGATTTGGAGGTGATTTTGGAAATTTGTACTATAATTGTACGGAAAGTACTACATTTGGTATCGTGTGAAGGGATAGAGCTGGAATCCTGAAATTTGATATGGATGTCAATGTTGATGTCTGTAATTGAGATATGGAACTAGTTTTGGAAATGATAGTACGCATTGTATTATATGGTACTAAATTTGGTATTGGGTGAAGGGATAGGGGTGGAATCCTTAAATTTGGTATTAGGGTATCTGTCGGTGTCTGGAATTGAGTATGAAGATGGTTTTGCAAATGCGTATTGTAACTGTTCGAAATGTGCCAAATGGTACTAAATTTTTGGTATTGAATGAAGGGATAAGGCTGAACACCCGAAATTTGATATTGAGGTCTCTGTTGATATGGGAAGTTGAGATCTGTGTTTTTACTAATATCCTCGGTAAACTTCAAAATAAAAGATTGTAAAGGATTTTCGGTATAAAATATAAACATTTTCCCTATTTCTTTTCGAAAAAAGAAAAACTTGAATAGTTGAATAGAAAAGAACCTTGAGAGTCTGAAAATTTAGTACGAATACGAGTTTTGATTAAAAAAATTGTGTCAAACTGAACAAATTGCGAATTTTGAGTAGCAAAATGGCCCAACACAAACTTTTGGAACGAATCGAAAATTTTAAAGTGGACTTTTCGCTGACGAAGTAGCGTTAAACGTATATTTTTATACCCTCCACCATAGAATAAAGGGTATATTAAGTTTGTCATTCCGTTTGTAACACCTCGAAATATACATTTTAGACCCCACAAAGTATATATATATTCTTGATCAGCATAAAATTGTATGTCGATTTAGCGTTGTCCGTCCGTCTATCCGTCTGTGGAAATCACTTTAACTTCCGAACGAAATAAAGTAGGTTGATAAAATTTTACTCAAATGTGTATTATGTCTGCAGGACTTTTGGTATTGAAAATGGGTAATGTAGGTCCATGTTTTGGTGTAGCCCCCATATAAAGGTACCTCCCGATATTCGGTATTTTGATGATTTTAGCGAAATTATTCACCGGAATTGTTTCAAATTAGGTATATGAAGTTCGTAACGGATGCTACAGCCAATGACCGAAAATTGCCTATGCAAGTCCATGTCTTCATATAGCCACCATATACCCGTACCTCCCGATATTCGGTATTTTTGATGATTTTAGCGACATTATTCACCGGAATTATTTCAAATTTGGTATTTGAAGTTCGTGATGGGTACTACAGCCTATGACAAAAAATTTCGTAAGCAGGTCCACGTCTTCGTATAGTCTCCATATAAAAGTTTTTATTTAAGTGCTAGTTTCTGGAAGTTTTTTTTTTAAATTTTTCAAGTTCCTTCCAAATGGTGGAGGGTATTAAAAGTCCGGCCCTGCCGAACTTAACTGCTTTTTTACTTTTTTTTTTTTTTTTTTAAGAGGGCCCAAGTGTTCCCTTCGGTGACTCGTTGGAGGGTTAAACATTTCCTGCATAATAATCCCCGTATTTTTATCTGCAAAAACTGCCAAAAATACTTTATACCTAAAATGCACGGATTCCATGGAATCTTAATCCGAAAATTTCCAAAAGTGCAGAGAGGGGGGGGGGGGGAATTGTCTCCTCAATTTAGGTTATTTTGCGACAAATATTTCAAAAACGCCGACACACGTGACTTCTATTTATTTTCGGATTTCCAGGATCTATATATAGCTCTACTTCCATAATCTGCAAAATTTTCCCTGCAGTTTTTGAAAAAATTTAATTTTGTCGACCCCTTCACGACTTTTGACCTTCCCCAACTGTTTGTCGAATAAATAAAACACCAATTTAAACTATTTGCGTTTTTTTGGTTTTGTTATAAATAAATTATGTTTTTATTTATTTCATAATATTTATTTTGTTTTTAATTTTTGTTTCATTTGTTTTCATATAATTTATTATTATTATTATTGTTGTTGTATATATATATATAAATGTGCTTCTTCATATTCTGTACTTATATATTTCGTCTTCTACATCTTACAATGTCTCAGCGTTTTTTTTACACAGTGGGTTCTTTTTATTGTGTTGGTATTATTGAGGGGTGGGGTGGGGGAGGAAAGTGGATACATAGATCGATAGAGGAGAGGTGTGGTGGCATGGATAATGGCTTCTAGATTTCGTTTCGTTTATTTAGTCTATCAATATTTTATTTTTATTTTTTTTCAATAACATCATGATCATCATCATCGTCATCTACATCACCATCATCATCATCAATAACAATTTGAATTCTAAAGAGATTTGGTTTTCGGTTTTTTTGAAATAAAAATCTTGAAATTTTAGGGTTTTCATGATTTTTTTTTATTAAATATTTTATTTGTTTTTTTTTCTTTCTTGTTTCTTTAAACTTAGTTGTTAAAAATAAGAGTAAGCTTTAATATATAGAGATATTTGATTTTTTAGGGTTTTTTGTTGTTGTTTTTTCTATATATAATAGGGTTTGTATTTTGTGTATATATTGAAATGTTTGATGTTGTTGTTATCTTTTCTGTTTTTTTTTTCAAATTCTCTTTTTTTTATACATTTTTCATTCTTCAAATTTATGCCACTTTTCCACAATAATTTCTATGAGAAACTCTTTGTTGTTTTTTTTACTAGATTTTTACACTAGAATTTTGTATTTGTTTTTCCGGTATTTGTTTTTTTTTTTGGAAATAATAAAAAAATTAAAAATAACAAAAGCAACAATGTTTGTTTTGTTTTTTTTTTTTTCTTCTTCTTTTTTTTTTCGTTATAGTACAATACTTGTTTTTCTTCTTCTTTATATTGTTATTTTCTTTCAGGATGAGAGGAAAAAGATAGTGCTAATAATTAAGGCCAATTACATCTAAATAATAATAATAATAATAATTTGTTATAATAAATTGTATTTTTTTCTTCTCAACTTCTCTTTTGTGGTTTTTTTTTTGTTGCTTAGTAATATTCATAAAATCGTTTTAAAGCCAAATTTGAGTTTCTTTATGTTCTATAAATTATAAAAAAAAATAATCATAAACAGTAGTTAACAAAATAAATTAAAACTAATTATCTACTAAAAGAACTTAAACAACTACAATAACTAGATAATTAATAATAAAAATTAAAAAAATAAAAAATAATAAACAATTTAAATAAAACTTAAAAAAAGGATATTTTTTTCTTTCAGTTTTCAAAAAAAAAAATCAAAACAAAAAACTATTTTCAAAAATAAACTATCATGGATGCGCTTTGTTTCTCTTTCAAGGAGGTGAAAGGTTGGGTGGGTAAGGAGGTTTGAACGTGGTAGGAATTTTTAATTTTGAAATCTTACAATTTTGAAAAAAACAATGTCTTTTTTGAGCTTAATTTTAAGTACCAATTTCTTGTTTTTTGGAATTCTTAATTTGTGCAAATTTGATTTTTCATTTAATTTTCAAGGAGAAGAAGAGTCCAAATAACGTTTTAGAAACAGGAACGGTTTGTTTTTTTATTTCAAAATTAATTCTAACCGTTGAATAATTTACCATTTTTTTTCAATATTTTCTTTCTTCGTGTTTTTTTTTTATTTTTATTGTATTATTCTTTGTTATCAGGTACTGTTTTTTTTTAAGTTTGTTTAATTGTTTCTATAGTTTTGAATATTGTTTTCAGAATTACATTTTCAATAGCCCTCAGTGGTTAAGTGTCTTGGGAATTTTTTTAAAGAATATTTGAATTTTTTTAGAATTAAAAAAAAATGAAAAAGAATGAATTATTTTTATTATTTTTTTTTTGAATTTTTCTAATTTTTTTTCGGATTTAAAAAAAAAATGTTTTTTTTTCGGATTTAAAAAAAAAATGTTTTTTTTCGGGATTTTTTGGAAACATTTTTAAATTTGTTAAAAATTAAAAAAAAATCATGAAAATGTTTGATTTATTTTTTAAAAATTTTAAGAATATTTGATGTTTTTTTTAAATTTTAAAAATATTTGAATTTTTTATCGGAATTTAAAAAAAAAATTCTTTGAAATTTAAAAAAAAAATTTTGAAATTTAAAAAAAAAAAAATTGAATTTAAAAAAAAAAAATTTGAATTTAAAAAAAAGGAATTTCTTTTAAAAAAATTTTTTTTTTTGGATTTCTTACCGCAAATGTCTTTTGAGAGTTACTTTGTAAGATTTTTTTAGATTTAAAAAAATTGAATTGTTTTTTAAAATTTTTAAAAATATTGGGATTTTTTTGGAATTTTCTTAATTTTTTTCCGATTCCTTAAAGTGTTTAAAAAATTAAATATTTCGATTTTTGTAAAAATATTTCAATTTGTTAGGAATTAAAGAAAAATATTTGAATCCCTTTTTAAAAATTTTTGCATTCTTTTTTTTTTCTCAAAAATTTGCAATATTTTCAGAATTTCTTAAAAAAATTCTGTTGAAATTCAATTTTATTTTTTTTTTTAATTTTCAAAACTCAACTTAACCTCAATTTATTTTTTCTTTTTTTAGGGGAGAGGTACTTCCTTCACTTAACCACAACAAATATCCGGGAAAATGCCATTTTAAACTTTATTTGTTTTTTTTTTTTTTTTTTTTTCTCAAAGGACCCAGAACTCTCTCTTTGGAGATTTTCAAAATTTTCTTTTAATGACTTCCTTCCTTTCTTTATTTTTCATTTTTCATTTATATTCAAAGCGCATTTTCTATTGTTTTTTGTTTTCAACTCTTTTTTTTACTTCGCACAAAAAATATGTTCTTCTTGTTGTTGTAATACCTTTTTTGTTGTTATTGGTTTTTCTATTCTTCTTTTTTTATTAATTATTTACTTCATCACACTTTATTCCTTTTTCTTTTTGGGCAAATTATCCTCACGACATGCCACAGCTGCCACAAGGGCAGCACCACGACCCGAACCATCTTCGGACAGCATCAGATCGAATGTAATGCCCGGTTTGACCAACTGTGAGATTTTCTCCACCATCAGGGTATGGAATTTGGGATGGAAACGATAGACACTGCCGTCCACACCCACCGTAACGTGGGGCTCGTTCATTTTGTTGATGAGACAGGCAATACCGCTCGACACCAGATGGGCAGCTCTTCGGGATACACATTCACAGATATAACGGACATTGGCACAGTCATCGTCGGTGGCTTCGGTCAGACCCAATTCCTCCAAGACCAGACGGCAATTGGTGTAGGTGCCCGGCTCATCGGCCTCAATTTCCGAAACATATTTGGTAAAGAATTGACCACGTGTCATCAGGACATCCGAATCCTGGCCCTTGAACAGTACGCCGGCATTGACCATCTTCACAATGGCCAGACGCACCAGCTCACCCATGTACATGCCGGAAATCATTTTTTCGAATACCTGTTTGCCGGGATTAATGGAATGACGATCCACTTCTTCATCGAATTCGGTGCGCACAAAGTCCAGGGCTCCATTGTCACCAAAGGCACCCCATTCGGTGTTGATGAGGACATGGGGTTTGCCATTGCTGGCACCATCAAACATTTCAGCCTCCTCTACGCGCTCAACATAGCAGGCATTCGATCCCGTGCCCACAATCAGGCCAATCTTGCAGTTGTGATTCTTCCAGGCACAGGACATCAGGGTGCCTGTGGTATCATTGAGAATGGCACACACATCAATCTGGACATCTCCGCGGCGGGCAATGGCATCTTTGAGTAACTGGACCACATCTTCGTTGACCACACCGGCACAATTGAAACCCTTGGTCCAGGTCACCAACAGGCCCTTGGTCAAACCCAACTGGGTGAGAGGGAACGAAAAGGTGAAACCCAATGGCAAACGTTCACTCTTGACATTGTGCTCCACCATAAAGTTGGACAAACACTCGGCAATGTGATCGAACAGCTGGGTACCCGAACCCAACATAATGTGCTGGGGTATGGCATAGATGCGAGATTCCATTTGGAAATCATGATCCTCCTTCAGATGGATCAACAGGACACGGAAATTTGTACCGCCCAAATCGAGGGCCAAGAACTTGCCACGCTCATTGCCGTTGGGCAGATCCTGGACGTAGGTGACGAAACACTTGACATTGGCCTTGGCGTGCGTATCCTTGGCCAGACCGCGCTTGATTTCGTGCAGGATACGATAGGTAAGCTCGTCGATTTGTTCATCCGTGAGTATCAATTGCTGACATAACTCGTGCACCATTTTGCGTTTTTCCGCGACACTAGCATTGGCGAAAGGTGCTGTGGTCGTCGGTGCTGCTGGCGGCGGATTTGTGGTTTTGTGGCCAGTGATGCCTTCGCCGCCAAGTGTAAATGTGGCAGCAGCAGTGGCTGACGACGATCGGTCTGTTTCATCGCGGTCAATGGTGGCAGATGAGGGTGATGATGTTTTTGTTGTTGTAGTTGCCGAACAGTTGCAACAACAGCCATTTGTTTTGGGGGCTGCTGCAGCCACAGTGCCATTGGGCAGTGGACAGCGGGCGCCAAATGTGTTGGTGGATGGTGAGGTAGGGGTGGCGGCACTAATCTGTTTACTGCAACAGCCGTTGGCCGATGAGTCTGTTGTTGTTGCCGTTTTCAGGCATTCATTTATAGATGCATTTTGCATGGCCACATTTAATTCTTTATCCATTTTTGTTTGCTTTTTGTTTTCTTCTTAGATATTTTGCTCTTGAAATTTGTTTTTGTTTCGTTTTTTTTTTTTTTTTTGCTAATTACAAATTTACTAGCACACAAAATCAACTTTGTATTTAGTTTGTTGTTTTTTTTTTCTTCTTTATATTCCTTGTCTTTTTTTGTTTTAGTTTGTTTAGTTTTGCTTTAGTTTTTTTTTTTTACAAATTCGTTGCGTTATTCTTTGCCTTCTTCTATTTAACACGAGACACAACCGTTCCGTTTAAACGCTCACAGCGGAATCAATTCCATAAATTTTTGTTAATAAAAGTTTTTATTCTCGAACGAAGAAACGGCGGACGTTAGAGTTGCTTGATTGGTTGGTTGGTTGGTTGCTTGACAAACGACCCCACTAAAAAAAATTAAAACAGCCAGCTGTCATGTATATTAGTAGTAGTCTAGTTGTTGTTGTTGTTGTTGGTGTTTGGTCACACACTCCGCTCTCTTTGACGACGTTGATCTCTCTTCCAAGCAAACTATGATTATTATTATTAACAATATTTGTTGTTGTTGCTAATAGTTTGTGCTTCTTTTTTTTTTGTTATTTTTGTATTACTTTTTCTCCAAAAAAAAATATTTTTTTTTTTCTTTCGTCTACACTTGTCTTCTTTCCGTCTTATGTTGTTTTGCTTTGCTACAACGACTTGTCTCGTCTTGCTTTTGTTGGCAACCGCTTGATTTACACTTTGTGTCTGCTCCGTTTCAGAGCTCCAGTACGACTTGTGATGTGTGTTGTGTGCCGCCGTTCGTTGTTGGATTTTTTTGAAGGAACCTTGAAGGTCAAAATTGACAATTTATTAGTAAAACGAATACTGGAAAGTTGTCTTATTGTATGTACACATAGTTGTTGTTGTTGTTATTGGCTTTGGATATATAGTATATGTAAGTGTGTGTGTGTTAGTATGAGTAAACGATGGAATGAGTGATTTTCTGTTACGTCGTGCCCCGTTCGTTGTTAGGGGGGGTTTTATGTGATGTGTGTCGTGTATCCACACAGTGTGTGTGTGGGGAATGAAGGGGAAAAGAGATGAGTACTGTGTAATTTACAAGAGTCATTTAACACAGAGAGAGAATCAACTCAACACACTTAGAGCATTGGAATAATTTTTTATCCACATTATGTGTGTGTGTGGGAGGGAGGGAGTTTGATGGGGAAAGAAGAGTGTACATGTGTAAATTACAAACTAAAAGAGAGTCCACCACAATGTCAGAGCATTGGAATTTTGTTAGGCATTCATTGTGGGTAAATAAATAAGAGAATTGTAAAAGGTAAATTAGGAGAATATATTTGTCATGAAAGAGGCCTATCACATGTAAATCAAAAGGTTGAAGGCCACAATGTTAGCTGTTATGGATTATAATTTGTATTATTTTTATAAAAAAAAAAAAAAACAGGGAGATAGTGAAAGGTGGAAAAGGAAAAAAATTTATAAAAAATCGAGAAAAATGTAAATTAAAACATTTAAAAATTTTATTAAAACATACAACAGTGCGTTTGGTAGTTTTTTTTTAAGAGAGTTAAATTTGAAGTAATTTTTATGAAAAAATGACGTTCTAATGAACATAAAAACAAAATAAAGCGACAATTTGTATAAAAAACAAATTAAAAAGGAGGTACCAGAAGGAATGGACCTATATAACCCTTCTTCGGAGCAGATCTTGTATTAGTAGAAATAATTGGATGTGTGAAATATGAAGAGAACCGGATGCTTATATTGGATTTTATAATCGTTTTGGTTATTCAAAACTTTGACCCTTTGTAAGGGAGGCACCAGAAGGAATAGTCCGATCTCGGCCATCAGATCTTGTGTTGATAGAAAGTTAAAGTAAAATCGGATTTTCATTTCTCTTTCTGGGCAGTAAATTATTTTCTTTGAATATTTCGGCCTTTTTTGTGGGGGAGGTACCAGAAGGAGTGGGCCGATATCGCCCATCTCCAAACTCGATCTAAGTTTGATAATAATATTACAATGTACCATGTTTGGACCAAATCGGATACTCGCTCCGAGATTTATCCTACGTACCCGCCAACTAGACAGACAGGCGGACATCGCTAGATCGACTCCAAATGTTATGAAACAGGACCGTTATTTCTATAAGGAACGTTTTGGCCGTATCGACTGATATATATCCTATTTCAGCTGAGGGTATAAAAAGAATTTCTGATATTACAGCTTGCGATTTCCAAACTAAAAATGATTTCAAAATTCTTGTACAAAAATAAATCCCCAAGTAGTACAAACGGAAAAGGAATAGTTCCAAGTGATGTCAATATTGAATTATTAGCTGAAATTTAACTAAATCAAACAACACTCCTTTTGCTTCGAAAATGTCAGCCGGCTACTTATGTTCTTACCTTAAAGATTAAAATATACCCCCAATTTACAATATTACAACAACAAAATATTCTAGCCATAAATCATCCGATAATTATTCCAAATTTTCTTTTTTCCGCTAAAAATAAATAGGAATAATTTATTAAAATTCCATTCAAAGCTCTTTAAGTTATCTTAAAAATATTTGCTCTCTTATTTTGTCTCTCTCTGAGTTTTATTTACATTGGAAGTTTGCATTTATAAAACTACATTGTTTTGGAAAAATGTGAGTGTCACAAGTGTCCCTTCCAAAGTAACACAAATGGAAAATTGATGTGTGGGTGTGTGTGTTTGCTAACCTGTCCACTTTTTATTACAAATTCTTTAAGACATCGGCAAAATCTACGCGAATGCTGGCTATGAAAATGAAAAGTGGGCAATTTAATACAGTGATGCTGTCAGCTATGGTTCTAGCCATAATCAATAAAAAAATTCTTTAAAGAATTTTAAAATAAATTTTTCCAGACAATTTTTTACTTTTTTTAAATATTTTAAGCGAATACAGCCATAACAATGAAAGAGAAATTCTTAAACGATTTTTAAAATTAATTTTTTCAAGTAAATTGTTTACTTATTTATTTACAGAAACAATTATTGAAAATTATCCGTATATGCCGATTTATTGATGTTTCAAGCACATCCTTTAAATTCTCTTAGTTTTTGTTATTATTATTTATTTATATTTATATTATTTATTTATTCTTTTTTTTAATAATTTGCTTTATTTTTGTTTTAAATTTTTAAAAAAATAATATTTCAAAATATTAAACAAAATGTTTTGTTTTTTTTAAATATTTTAAGCGAATACAGCCATAACAACGAAAGAGAAATTCTTAAACGATTTATAAAATTAATTTTTTCAAGTAAATTTTTTACTTATTATATATCAAAAATTTATATACAAAAACAATTATTGAAAATTATCCGTATATATGCCGGTTTATTGATGTTTCAAGCACATCCTTTAAATTCTCTTAGTTTTTGTTGAATCACCAAAAAATCAATGTTTATGCATTATTTATTTATTCTTCTTTTAATAATTTGCTTTATTTTTGTTTTAAATTTTTAAAAAAATATATTTCAAAATATTAAACAAAATGTGATTTAGTTTTCTATTAAATTATCTCCTTTTGCAATTTTGCTCTTAAGGAAAGAGATTCTCATTCCCATTGCCTTAACAACGGTAGATGTAAATAAAGAGAAGAGTGTATGAGCGGAAGCCCAAGAGCATGCCTGCCTGTCTGTCTGTCTTGTTGTAAAATCGTATGACTATGAGTATAACAGTTTTCTCGTACTTGTTGTTGTTATTATTGCTCTGTCGTGTAATGTATGTGTGTGTGTGGGCCTGTGTTTTGCTGGGTATATTTATGAATTGAGTTGGCGTTTTACGTTTGTTTGGGGCAAAGGGAAAAGAGAACTATTATTATTATCTCATGAGTATGTATGTGTTTTGCTTTTTTTCTAAAGTCACACTGGAATGTGGTAAGTACTTGTTTCTTCATGCAAGTTTTTCTTTTCTTTTGTTTTATTTGGGGGGTGTGTGTTGCAATCTCTTGGCACTAGACTTTTGCCTCTTGTCTGTACGTTGATGGGTATGTGCATTTATGAGATGAGATGGTGGATAATGAAATGAAATGGAAAAAAACGGGGCTCGTCTCTTTGCTGTGTATGTTGCTTGGCCTCATGATTTACTGGGTGTTTATTTTATGGAGTGTTGTGAGGGAGAAAGGAAGGGGGCAACTGGGTGGCTTGCATTCACAAGTTTTGTCGTTGTTGTTATTTGTAAAGTGTATGCAAGTGTGTAATGTGTATGTTTTATGAGTAAAGTGTGTTAATAATAAGTCGTTTTATGGCATTGAGTAGTTCGATTTACCTACCTTTCTGCCTCTTTAGCTTCGTTTGCCGAGTTTGATATCTACGTGTCTGGAATCACACACGCACCTTGTTTTTTTTATTGTAACACTTCCTTCGTGGAATCAATTTCGGGAATTTTTACGACAAGTAGATATGCTTTGTCTCACTTGTAAACTTGTTTTCTTTTGATTTTTTTTTTGCCTTAAAGAAATATGTGGTTTTTTCTTATTTTGTCCGTTAGCTTAAATACTGCGCCTTGAACTGTCTTGCTGAAATGAGAAAACGAAAAAAAATATTGAAAATTCATATTCATTAAATTTTTTTTCATTTTTTATTTTTTTCAACATTTTTGCATGTAAAAGCAAAAATAGAAAAATTAAAAAAAAAATCTGTGAATGTGTGTGTGTGTGCGACGGATAATTATTGCCAATATACAAATTGCCAAGCATTCTCTCATTCCCTCCCCCTTTTGCTCTAGCTTTGGCCCCCCTTATCATTATTTTTTGTTTCATTTCATTTTTTTTTTGTTTCATTGTCGTGGGTCTTTGGGTTATAGACGGTCGACAAACGCCTGATATTATCGCCCCAAGTGTGGGGGCTGGTTGGTTGGCGTTTTTCAAGTGCTGTCATTTTCGTGGAAGTGACACAAACATGTGATTACTGACTTTGTTTTAATTTTTGTTCGTCATTTTTTTTTTCTATTTTTTTTTTGTTATTGAAAATAATTCATTTTTGAAACGCTATTTTTTATTTGTTTGTATAGATGTCTAGCCATTGTTTGGTATGTGTGTGTGTGGGGAAGTGGATACATATTTACACAAAATAATGCACAATGACCATATCGAACATATGTATTTTCCACACTTAAATGAATTTTGCAATTTCAAACAATTTTATTTTAAATAAACTCTTGCATGACCTTCAGAAAAAGTTAAGGACATTTTTTATGGATTTGGTAATGCTTTGTCATGTAATGGGTGTTCAAGGAAGGCAAGTTTTGGAATTTTTTGAGCAATTTTTTTTCTTTCATTCTGAACAAATATAAAAGCAGTTATATTGAGAATTAAAATTTTTTTTCTTTAATTTTTTTTCAAAATTGTGAATTTGATAAAATTTCCATAGAATTTACATAAAAACCCTGCGGGGCTAAGCCACTCGTCCGACAGCTGTTAAAATTATTCCAGTGACAGCTCATTATATAATTTTCCAGAAAAAAGTTATTCGAGATGGAATTCAAGCGCGATAATGTGATTTTTTTATATTTGGCTGGAAAACCACAAGTGGCTATCGTATCGAGCTCTCCCGGATTTAAATGTGAATAAATCTTTTGTGTCTTGTACCATCGCTCATTAGCTGAACATATCGCAATATTCCATTCGGCAAATATTGAAAAATGAACTCGGGGTAAAGCCATTGAAATCGCAAAAAGTGCAAGAACTTATACCGCAACAGAAAGAAAATAGACTCAAAAGAGCTAAAGAGTTGCTTCGCTTGGCCGAAAGTGGTGAACTGCCGAATTTGGTTTTCTCCGTCCCCGATGAGAAAACATTCGTTGTCCAGAAATTTTTAGAAACAAACAAAATGATCGTGTTTACTTGCCAAAGAGGTCAGCTGAAAATGTGCACCTTCGGTTGGCCACCAGAACTCAAGTGCCGGTCATGGTAATGATGTGAGCCGCCGATGGTCGCTCTCCGCTCGTAAAAAATCGACCGTGGCATCAGAATAAATGCCGAATTTTATGGCGAAAATATTCTGCAGGGTGTATTAAAGCCTTGGGCACGCAAACATTTTGGCCGCAGACCTTGGGCATTCCAACGGGACTCAGCAACATCGCACTCAGCACGCGCCACCCCAGAATGGTTACAAAATGAGGTTCCTCGCTTCATTTCCAGGGCACAATGGCCACCAAAATCTCCGGATACCAATCTCCGTTGGACTATTGTGTCTGGAGTATTTTGGAAAGCAGGGTTGGCTCTAAAAAATACCCAATTGTCGATCACCTCAAGCAAGTGCTTTGCCGGGAATGGGCCAAAATACCGCAGAGCAACATTCGGGCATAGTGTGACGGTTTCCTTTTGGCCGTGTGAAGGCCATAATTCGTGGCAAAGGTGACCAATGCGAATAAACCTGAACTTATTTTAGAATTTGATGCTATTTCCGACATTTTTTTGCTTTCATTCAATAAAATTTAAAAAAAAAAATGTAAAAAATATGGCCTTTGACTTTGTTGCAGATTTTTTTAAATCTCACCCTGTATTTTAATTTTACGTAGTCATTTCGTACATACATTTATACAAATATTTCGAAATATATTTCCGCATAAAATTTATCGTTATCTCATTTTTGTTGTTGTTTTTTTGGTTTTTTTTGTCATGACGCCAATGCATTTTATGAAAGACGATTAAATCTACATATCTTTCAAGTCTGGCGATTTTTCTTTTAATAGCCCCTCCCTCTCCCTGACAAGATAACGTCATGTGTTTGTTCCAATAAATAAAAATTTTAAAATTCAAAAAAAAAAAAAAAAAAAAAGAACAAAAAAACCTTGAACTTTTCAATGAGAAAAAAGAGGCCTAACCTGTTTCAATGGATTTTTTTTTGTTTTGGAAATTTACAAATTTAAATTCAATTTTAAATTCAATTTTAAATTTAAATCCAAATTTCCAAAACCAAACAAAACGTAATCAACCGAAACTAAAATGTCAATGGCCCAAGTGGCAATTCGAGATATTGATCTCTTAGGTTTGGAATGTCTATGGCTTTAGGTTTTACAGATTTTTTTTTTTTTTTTTGCTTTAGGGGTTGTTTTTTACAGCAACATGTGTCTGACACATGCGGGATTTTTTGAAATCTTCAGTCTTCAATGTGTGACACCAGCATAAAGTGCCGTAGATAAACTCAACAATGTGCCAGAGATAAATCACTACTTCAAGTGGCTAGAAACACACATTGTTTAAGTGCATACCAATGGGAAAATTGGAAAACCCTTTAAAATTAAATGGAAATGTATGATACGACAGTATTTGTTTAAGTGTTGACGGTCGGAAGTCATAATGTTGGTGATTTATGGACACTTTAGGGGAACATATGTTCCATACTTTCAATAAATAAAAATAATGCTTTTCGATCGTTAAAAACTCATTTAAAATAAAGTCTCGCAAATCATTTGGAAAATCAATTTTTAGGTTATTATTTTCTAAATGTCTTGATTTTTTAAGTGTTTTCTTTTTTTATAATTCGTTTGTCCTTAAAGATAGACATGAGCTATTGAACTTATTCTCTTGTGGTAAAGTACGTTTCATATGGCGCCCAATGTGGGGCACCTCCAATGAAGTTTGATTTTTTCCCCAATCAGTTTCGACCAAAAGAACCGAATAGAAAAAGGAACTTGAATGTTTTATCACATGCAATTAGTGGCGCCCGATGTGGGGCACCACCTTCAATGAATATGTAATTCTTTTCATATCGGATTCGAATAAAAGGATTGTAAATATCGGATAGAAGAATGCATTAAAATTTTTGATCACATACAACTGGTGGCGCCCAATGTAACCAACAGCCTTGTAGATTCCAAGCCATGACGTCTCCTTGGCTTAGTGGGAACCTTGCTCTTTTGGAACCCGAGAATTTTTGTACCGAGTATCAATAAGATGCATAGTCTATCTAGAATTCCTTCACAAGAAAGTGAATTTTAAATGGCACCCAACGAGGGTACCTCTAATAAGGTTGACGATTTTTTGTCTTCGAAAGGATTCAATTAAAAGAATTGTAAAATTTTAATAAAAAAATAATTTCAATACGTGATTCATGCAACTGGTTGCGCCCGATGTAGCTAAGGGATAATCTATCTAGAAATCCTTCATAGCGAAGAAGTTCATTCATATGGCGCCCAACGTGAGGTACATGACAGAGTTGGTGCCAAATGCTTCTATATTGTTTGGTGTAGATATTGTTGAAGTATTTGTATGACCAAAAACTCTGCCTTGTTCGGAAAGCTTTAGTCAGGATGACATGTTTACTTTTTATGAGAAAAATACGAACCTATTCCAAAACTTATTTTGAAATCGCTCTTATATATTTTTATGTGATTATGTTTTTACAACGAAGTGCATTTCAAATGGCGCCCAACCGGGGGTACCTCTACTAAACTTTTGCTTTCTTACTTTTTTTTACAAGTCATGGTCATTTTTTAAAGATAGGAGAGCTTTCGCTAAATAGTGCCATACCGTTTGGTTAAATAGTGCTGAAGTTTTTCTCTGATCTGTATATCCGCCAAAAATACACTGCCTCGTTCGGGAAGCTTCAACTCAGATCATATGTTTGCTTTCTAGGAGAAAACATCTACGCCGGCACCATAGCCTCTCGAGAAATTACTCTTGTATCGATTTATATGATAGTGGCGCCCGACGTATGTCACCAAAGACTTTGATAAGGTTCACAAAATTTCCTATAGCGAATGACTTTCCTCTTGGTGCCCAATATACGACGTCTGAAATGAACGCTTCTTCGGCACTGCTATGCAGCGCATTGCGTTGAATATGGCGCCCGGTGTGGGGCTCAACTTTTTTTTTAAATTCAAAAATTTCAGATACAACATTTGATGACATTTTTTTCTTTATAAGCTTTTTCTTCTGGTTTGTTTCAAATGGCGCCCGATGTGGGGTATCAATCACCTATGTTCGCCAATGATGGTGAATATCATTCTACCGCTTTCAATTCAGTGTTTGTTTTCAGAATAGACGTTTTTATGGTGATCTGTTTGCTTCCTTGGCATAATACTGGACATTACAGATATAATGTCATACTGAAGTTTGTGGTGACGTTTGTAGATCCTTCATTCTTTTGGCGCCCAATCATTGAAATCTTTCATATGGCACCCATTTTAAACAAGACGTCTAAAACTTGACCAAAATTTCGAAATCTTTATTTTCCATTCTTTAACTCCCCGCTTTAGGGGAAATTTACCGCATTCCTCTACACCCCCATTCACAACAGTTTAATTCAACTTCGAGGCCTTATCAATAGAATTTCACCAGCATCAGAAATTTTTAGTAATTGAATGAAAAAAAAAAACAACAACAACAAAAACACTTGGGTAAATATTTTGCGGCTCTTCCCGTCAGTCGCGTTTAACTCTTATCATGAAGAAACATGTTTTATTTGGCGGAAACTACTTCTTGTTCCAAGAAACCCCTTTCATAAACGGCAAAAAAGAGGGAGAGGAAGATTGTTGGTCCAAAAGGAGGGTTCTGAAAAGAAACCCACACACACACAATAGCATTCATTGACGCCTTCACCGAAAAAAACCAAATGAGAGGGCACAAAACTTATGAATCATTGAATGTTTTTCCATTCTCTTGTTTTTCAGATATGGGTCTAATGCTACATAAATACATGGCTACGTGGAGTCAAAGTCTCGTGTTTTTTTTTTATGTAGCAAAACATAGCTGTAGTGTCTTTGACATTTTAAAATTCAGCGTGCAAACACGCACACAGACAGTCTGGCACACACACACACACATACATTGATTACTATAAATATCAACGGCACGTGTAAGTTTTTTTTGGTGGGGGAATTTACAAGTCAGCAAAAATTTATTTCATGATTGAACACATTGCTTTAAATGAAAAAACAAAAAAAATTACCAAAAAAAATCGACCAAAAAATTTTTGGGCCAAAATATTTTTTCGACCAAAAAAAATTATACCAAAAAATTTTTTTTTTTTTTTTTTGATTAAATTCACTTGGCACAGAAAATGTTTACTCCAAATGACATTCCTTGTTTTGAACCAAAAAAAAATTCGACCAAAATTTTTTTTCTACCAAAATTTTTTCACTATACAAAAAATTGTTTCGATTGAATTCACTTTACAAACAAAATGTTTACTTTAAATTACATTTTTTTTGGACCAATAAAGTTTTGACCAGAAAAAAATTCTACCAATTTTTTTTCCAAACCAAAAAAAAAATCGACCAAAATTTCTTCTATCAAATTCACTATACAAAAAATTGTTTCGATTGAATTCACTTTACAAACAAAATGTTTACTTTAAATGACATTTTTTTTTGTGGACCAAAAAAATTTCGACCAGAAAAGAATTCTACCAAATTTTTTTTCCAAACCAAAAAAAAAAATCGACCAAAATTTCTTCTATAAAATTCGCTATACAAAAAATTGTTTCGATTGAATTCACTTTACAAATAAAATGTTAACTTTAAATGACATTTTTTTTTTGTGGACCAAAAAAATTTCGACCAGAAAAAAATTCGACCAAATTTTTTTTTCAAACCAAAAAAAAATTCGATCAAAATTTCTTCTATAAAATTCGCTATACAAAATTTTTTCTCGATTGAATACACTTTACAAACAAAATGTTTACTTTAAATGACATTCTTTTTTTGACCAACAAAGTTCCGACCAGAAAAAAATTCTACCAACATTTTTTTCCAACAAATTTACGACACAAACAAAATTTTCACTCAAAATGGCATTTGTTCTTTTTTTATCCAAAACTATTTTTTGACAAAAAAAAAATAATTCCACCAAAAAATTTATTTTTCGACCAACATCACATCAACACACAACTTCACATTTGTTCTTCAAATTTCCACAAATTACCATAAATATCCATAAATTATTGTAATTTCTACTCACATTTGTAATTAATTGATATTCCTTTTTTGCGCTGAAATAATTTATTTCTTGTTTACACTCGAGAAAATATTATTGTCAATTTTTTTTTTGTTATTTTTAGTGCACTTTTATTGTGATTTGTTTTGTTTATTTTTAAACTGCATTTGTCTAAATCTGTCAAACAGCAATACTGGGTGTGAAATTTGTTTTCTGTTTTGATTTTTTTTTTTCCTTCTTTTGAATAATAATTTTTCAATAGCTCTCTTTCCGTTTTTGGTGTTGCGCGCTTATTATTCCTTTAGTTGTTTTTAACACTTCCACCACTGGCGTTTGAATGTTGCCCGACTCGGCATAAACATCAAATTTAAGAAAAGACCTCGATTTTCCTCCTGGATGACATTTAAGACAACAAACATGTGTGTGCACGTGTGTGTGTGCCACTCTGTTTGCTCACACTCAATTCTCTCGGCGGTCACATTGAGATATATATTTTACATTCACAGAGCCACACACACATTTCCAGTGCTGATGGTGCCACAATTTGTAGTTTTTTGTTGTTGTTGCAGCTGTTGTTGAATATTTGCCGTTTTTTGTTTTCATTTGCAATGGGGGGTTCTCACTTTGAGAGTATCTGGTTTTTTTGTATTTACTCTCAGTACGAACATGCAATATATCACACAAATTGCCAGGGTTGGGAATTTTAAACATCTAAAACTTTGTTCCAGAAAATCCAAGAATCTACCATATTTTACAAAAAAAAAAAAAAAAAAAAAAAAAAAACAAAAAAAAAAACAGTAAAGAAAGCCTTAAAGTCGGGCGGGCCGACTTTATGATACCCTACACCACTTTGCTAATTTAGTAGAGCTGCGCATAACAATTAAAAGTTTTTATGGGAGAATTCAATCATACACGCTATGATTATAATTATAATTTAAAGTTTAAAGGACTAAATATGCCGAAGCATTTGTATCTCTTCAATTCGGACTTGTATTGTCCATTTGGTGCACAATTAATTTGAAATCGGATAAAAATATATATGGGAGCTATATCCAAATCTGAATCGATCTCGATAAAATTTGGCAAAGATATTTCTGAGCTGTATTTGATGTATTTCCCTGAATATCATTGTTACGGAGTGCATTTTACGGCTGTGGGTAACAAATATAACAAATCGGATGAACAGTATATATGGGAGCTATAGCTATATATGTGAACCGATCTTTACCAAATTTGACATACTAGCTTCTAGACTCAATTCGTTGTAAGTGCCAAATTCCATACCATTTAGACAAATATTAGACGTTTGGTGGACAATCAAAGGTAAATCGGACGAAGTTATATATGGGAGCTATATCCAAATCTGAACCGATCTCGATTAAATTTAGCAAATGTATTTCTGAGCTATATTTGATATATTTCTCCAAATATTGTTGTTACAGAGTGCATATTACAACTGCGGAGGACAAAAATAACAAATCGGATGAAAAATATATATGGGAGCTATAGCTATATCTGAACCGATTTCGATCAAATTTGGCATACTTATTTTGAGGTCCAATCTGATCGTACGTGCAAAATTCCATACTATTCGGACTGATATTACACGTTAGGTGCACAATAAAAGGCAAATCGGACGAAGATATATATGGGAGCTATATCTAAATTTTGACCGATTATCTCCAATTTCAATAGGGTTCGTCCTTGAGCCAAACAAATGATTTGTGCAAAATTTCCTCTGGATCGGGTAATAAATGCAAACAGTACTTTGTTTACAAAAATACATGGACAGACGGACGGACGGACGGACATGCATAAATCGACTCAGAATGTGATTCTATGCAGATCATCAAAAGGAACTATGGGTCTATCTCGTTCCCTTTTGCCTGTTACAAACAAAAAAACGAAGACGAGAACCTGCATAAATAATATTTTTGTCATTTGCTGTAGTAACGATTCCGAACTTCAAATACGAAATTCGAAACAATTCCGGTGAATAATGTCGCTAAAATCATACAAATGCCGAATCAAGTGTAGTGCCGATTTATGGGGCCTATATGAAGACCTGGACCTGCATAGACAATTTTCTGTTATAGACTGTAGTTCCCATTACGAACTCTTAATTTGAAACAACTCCGTTGAATAATGTCGCTAAAATCATCAAAATACCGAATATTGGGAGGTTCCGTTGTATGGGGGATAAACGATATCGTGGACCTACAATGTGAGATAAAAAAACTGCAAAAAATGCAAACGCCGTAATTTTTACAATTTTTTTAATTTATTCAACGAAATAGCTTAAAATTTTAGAATAAATTTAGATTTGTTCGAATTGGTCACCTTTGGCACGAATAATGGCCTTCAAACGGCCAATGAAACCTTCACACGCTGCCTGAATGTTGCTCTGCGGTATTTTTGCCCATTCCCAGCGAAGCGCTTGCTTGAGGTGATCGACACTTTGGTATTTTTTAGTGCCAACCCTGCTTTCCAAATTCTCCAGACACAATAGTCCAACGGAGATTGATATCCGGAGATTTTGGTGGCCATTGTACGCTGGAAATGAAGCAAGGAACCTCATTTTGTAACCATTGGTGCTGAGTCCTGCTGGAATGTCCAAGGTCTGCGGCCAAAATGTTTGCATTCCCAAGGCTTTAATACACCCTCCAGAATATTTTCGCGATAATATTCGGCATTTATTCTAATGCCACGTTTGATCAATACGAGCGGAGAGCAACCATCGGCTGTTATGGCGGCCCACACAATCACCATGACAGGCGCCTGAGTTCTGGTGGCCAACCGAAGGTGCACATTTTCAGCTGACGCCTTTGGCAGGTAAACACGATCATTTTTTGTTTGCTTACAAACTGCTGGACAACGAATGTTTTCTCATCGGAGACGGAGAAAACCAAATTCGACAGTTCACCACTTTCGGCCAAGCGAAGCAACTCTTTAGCTCTTTTGAGTCTATTTTCTTTCTGTTGCGTTATAAGTTCTGGAATTTTTTGGAATATAAATGGCTTTACCCCGAGCTCATTTTTCAATATTTGCCGAATGGAATATAGCGATATGCTCAGCTCACGAGCCTATTTTTGGGCTACAGAGACGCGGGTTTCGATCAAGTCACTTCTTTACTTTCTGCTGATGTTGCTGTTTTCTTTCGTCCACTTCCTTGACGTCGGGCTACGCTACAAGTATCACGGCAGCGAACTATGGAGACATGAGGTACAAAAGATTTATTCACATTTTAATGCTGGAGTGCTCTAACTATAGCCACTTGCGGTTTTCCGACGAAATATAAAGAAATCACACTATCACGCTTGAATTCCATCACGAGTAACTTTTTTTCTGGAAAATTATCACCAAAATGCTTTTGTACACTTGTAAACAATATAATGAGCTGTCACTGGAATAATTTTAACAGCTGTCGGACGAGTGGCTTAGAAATGACAGAAGTCTGAAATTGGTTGCAGTTTTTTTAATTTCACCCTGTATATCCTCTGCAGCCACATGGCTAAGGGTATAAAAACATCCAAATACGGAATACTGCAAGGTACCTTTATATGCCGGCTATACCAGAACGTACCAGAATATATCTCATTTTTAATACCAGCCATCCTAGGCACAATACAAATTGATGTGCCAAAGTGTGAAGATCAAATAATATGGGCTGTATCGTGATTTCAATTGATTTCAGACTGACGGGCATTGTTAAATCGAATTAGAATTTTATGCTGATCATGAATATTTATACCTTATGGGGTCTGCGACGAATATTTAGGGATATTACAAACGGAATGTCAACGTTGATGTACCCTCCTTTTCAAGGTGGAGGGTATGAAAATGTCAGGCTTATTCAATCATAGACCCAAAATGGCAAAGACTAGACAAAATGCATTTTGAGCAAATGGTTTGTGTCTACAATACACAGAGTAACAGATCATGACAGAAGCATGTAAAAAAAAAAGTTTTGAAAAATCCAAAATTTTGGTTTCAAAATTCTATTCCGTAGATCTTTACAAAAATGTGCCTTAGCGGTTTATATCAGTTAACATTGGTAACTATGTTGTTATGTTATCGTAACAACAGACGTCTTTTTACAGGGTTGCCATATTTTGACTCGATCTTGTCCTATTTTCATAATTTGATGTCTTTCATTCAGTTCAGCCCATTCCTTGTTATATTAGTCCAACAACATTCCTTTAAATGTCTCCAAGTTCGAAATTACCAAATTTAAAGTGGTTTCTAAATCGTTATTTATTATTAATAGAAAACTTCCATCTCTGCGGCACACACCTCTCCAACTGAGTAAAATTTTTCGCTTAACGGAAAAATATTCCACAATGAAAACACACACATACTCTCTCTCTCTTTCTGTGTGTCGCTGCCTCCTCCTTTTGCCACCATCTGATGACGATAATATACACACGGCTGTGAGTACTTTGTGTACTCTACAAGTACTTGTATATGGGTGTGTGCGTGTGTGTGTGTACTTGTACAACTGCTACAACGAGATTCCCCTTAACCCCGCTATACACCGGCCAGCATCCTAAGTTTTGCAGTATATGTAGAGCTTGCCTCAATAACGACGACGACCACGACGATTCATATTTCCAGTTTTAGAAAGGGGGCTCGTCTCGTGTCCGTATTTGCATACTAACACACTTGCATGAAATAATGGATATGGGTGTGTATGGGTATTTTGTTGTTATACATACCCACATTTATATAATATAATAAAAAGTAGGTAGGTATGTGAACTTTGCAGTTGTTGTTGGTTGGCAGCGGCAGCAGTGGATGTGTGTCTGCAAGTTGTGCCAATTCTTTTTGCCAAAGGAACAACAACGGAAAATTGATTTTTTTTGTTTAAACCCCTCTTCTCTCTTTCCACATTTCCTTTAGGGGTATATATATTTTTTTACTTTGATTGTGTATATTCCATGTTTTTGCTTGTTTCTTTCATTTCCTCTGCTTCACTTCCAACAACATTTACCACATTTACCAAGCCCCCAGTCACAAAAATGACCCCTGATTTCATAGCCGTACTTTGTACTCTTGTTCTTTTCATTCGTCTTTCTCTTCTTCCTTCGCCTCTCGTGTTGCTATTTTTAGTTTGACTTTCAAAAGTGTATTTTGACATTTTTTCCTTTTTTGTCAACGGTTTTATTTTATTTATTTTTTTTTTTTTGTTGTCGTTGTAACTCTCTCTCTCTCTCGTGTGTGTGTGTATAATAAAACAAACTTCTCTCACCATGGAATTTGATGGGGGGCTTGTGTGAAACTTCGTATAGCAATCGGTCGTTGTTCATTCGGCCACACTCTTAAAAATGTTGACTCTGTTAGAATTTTT